AAATACCATCAAACTATATTGTATGAAAATCACAAAAATTCAATTTAAAAATTTTTTAAAGTATTCCAATTTGAGATCTAACACCCCCACAAGGCCCCTGTTATCTACAAAGCACTGTTATCTGTGGGCGCACTACTCTACTTAATCTCTGAAAGTATATACAGGAAGTCTAACTGACCCATTTTCCAAATTAAGTCATGCAGGGTCCCACAGAGTAAAACAGCTTTCTCAAGAGTCAGCATGAGAATGCAGGGAGTGGTTGCACACGCCTATAATCCCAGCACTCAGGTGGCTGAGGCTGAAGGATCAAGAGTTCAAAGCCAGCCTGGGTTACATAAGTTAGACCCTATCTCAAAATAACAAAACAAAATAAAGTATTGGAAATAAACTCATTGGTTAAGAATTCACTGGAACTAGTTGGAACATATGCAGTCCATAATCTGCCTCATTCCCCAAGCCATAAAGGGCAAATATCAAATATGTGGCAAGTATGTCATTCCTGTAACAAAATGGGACAGTACTATTCAGTGATACCAATCCTGGGTTACTGATCTCAGACATGGCCTTGGAATTTTCCAGAAGTTACTCAGCCTAAGAGAAGGAATACACTTCTCAACTACACGCCATCTCTGTGGCACACTATACTGCCCCTCAATCAGTTACTACAGTTAGTGACATTTCTGAGGGTTATGGCCAACTGTTAGATTTGTGCAGATGTCCACATACTACTGTTTCTATCTTATCTGAGAAACGAAGTTCGAGTGGTTGGCCTATGTGAGAGGGAGAGTGAAACCACAGAGAGTGGAGACAGCAACAGCAGGTACAGTGGCCTACTCTCTTCAGCTACACTCATCTTCCCACAGAAGGAACTGTAAAACCAGCAGCAGGAGTCCACTTTCATTTCTATCACACTACACAATTCCTGAGTAAATCTTACTTTATCTGTACTGCACTCTGCTTTTTCAGGTAAAAAGGTGCTCCAAAGTCAGGTGTGGTAGCACACACCTGTAATCCCAGCACTTAGGAGGCTGAGGCAGTAAGACTGTTTTGAGTTGGAAGACAGAATGGGCTACACTGAGTTTCAGGCCAGCCAGAGCTATATAGCAAGACCCTTCTCAGAACAACCACCACAAAAAAAGTTCAATACATATATTCTATAACTCTATTTCAAGGTACAAAGAAACTCTGAATCTATATAATTCATACATGTGTATATAACATTATAAAAAGCGAAAAAAAATCCTGAGTTATTAGGAAAGTAATTAAATCCAACTTAGAAATAACTCTTTGGCTGAGGTCTATCCCAATGGAACTTCTATAGCCACACGTCATTAGAAACCCCTCATAGAATAACTCTGTGGCTTTGTTTTACTCAAGGAACTACTTATCAGATAGTGGGGAAAAAACCACAAAACAGTTACTAAAAATGTAAAAGACCTAATAAATTCTTTTACGTTAGGTATTGCCATATCTCACATATCTGGACTATTCTTGAAAGTAACAGCTTAGGAATGAATATGCTTTTAATTCATTCATATTTAAAGAAGTCAAGAGCCAGTGAGATGGTACAGCAGGTAAAGGTGCTTGCTGCCTGGAGATGCAAGCTTGTCCACCTGAGTTCAATCCCCCAAAAGCTGTACACACACACACACACACACACACACACACACACACACGCACATCCAAAATGTCAAATAAAATATAGGACAGGCAGAGTGATGCATGCCTTTAACCTCAGCACACAGGAGATAAGAGGCAGACAGATCTCTATGAATTTAAGGCCAATCTGCTTCATACAGTTCAGGCCAGCCAGGCTATATAGTGAGACCCCGTCTCAAATAATAACAATATATTTTTAATTAAACATTTTAAAAAGAAGTCAAAAGGTGAGAACCACACATATCCACTTACCCTAAAAATGACCCTAAAGTAAACTGCTTAGAGAAATTAGATCTCAATGACCCTCGGTGGGAATTTCAACATTGCCATCAGTGTACCTATAATTCAAGTGCTGGTAAGAAAAGGCCAAAGCCAGGAGTGGTGGCGCACACCTTTACTCCCAGCACTCAGGAGGCAGAGGCAGGAGGATCTCTGTTAGTTCAAGGCCAACCTGGTCTAGTTCTAGGCCAGCTGGGGCTACAGAGAGACCTTGTCTCAAAAAGACAAAAAAAGAAAAAAAAAGGAAAAAGGCAAATCAAGCACTGGTTGCTCTTGCAGAGGATCCAAATTAGATTCCCAGCACCCACATGGTGGCTAACATCCATCCCTAACTTCAGTTCCAG